CAGTAGTAATCATCATTAGTAGGAGTAGTAGCAGTAGTAATCATTATTAATAGGAGTAGTAGCAGTAGTAATAATCATTAGTAGGAGTAGTAGCAGTAGTAATCATTATTAATAGGAGTAGTAGCAGTAGTAATAATCATTAATAGGAGTAGTAGCAGTAGTAATAATCATTAGTAGGAGTAGTAGCAGTAGTAATCATCATTAGTAGGAGTAGTAGCAGTAGTAATCATTATTAATAGGAGTAGTAGCAGTAGTAATAATCATTAGTAGGAGTAGTAGCAGTAGTAATAATCATTAGTAGGAGTAGTAGCAGTAGTAATCATTATTAATAGGAGTAGTAGCAGTAGTAATAATCATTAATAGGAGTAGTAGCAGTAGTAATAATCATTAGTAGGAGTAGTAGCAGTAGTAATCATTATTAGTAGGAGTAGTAGCAGTAGTAATCATTATTAGTAGGAGTAGTAGCAGTAGTAATCATTATTAGTAGGAGTAGTAGCAGTAGTAAACATTATTAGTAGGAGTAGTAGCAGTAGTAATCATTATTAGTAGGAGTAGTAGCAGTAGTAAACATTATTAGTAGGAGTAGTAGCAGTAGTAAACATTATTAGTAGGAGTAGTAGCAGTAGTAATCATTATTAGTAGGAGTAGTAGCAGTAGTAAACATTATTAGTAGGAGTAGTAGCAGTAGTAATCATTATTAGTAGGAGTAGTAGCAGTAGTAAACATTATTAGTAGGAGTAGTAGCAGTAGTAAACATTATTAGTAGGATTAGCAGTAGTACTAAAACTACCTCATGGCCCATTTTAACTGGCACCTCCACATTCTTGCACATTTACACAACATCTAAGTGCACTGTTTACAGAGATTGTTTATACTTATTATAGTTATTATTTTTGTACTGAGATAAGCTCCCTCTGCGCATTAATACATTTCGATTTTTTGTTTTGTTTTGCACTGTGCTTCTTTATTTTATTAATGTTTACCTGTAAATGTTTGTTTTTACCACTACTGTAACGCTGAAATTTCCCTCGGGATCTATTAAGTTTCCATCTATCTATTTATCCATCTATCTATCTATCTAACAATTTGAATAAAACTACCTTTAAGAAAACACAAGCTGAGCACTGCAAGAGAGCACAAAACTGAAAGATATTTACGCCTTCGAAACAAAATCTGGAAGTGACACATTCTCTCCATGGCCTAGGTAATGGAGATGCTGAGCAAACACACACACAGTCACACACACACACGCACACACACGCACACACACGCGCGCCCCTCCCAGCAGGATCATATGGAAGTGACATGGAAGTGGAGCAGTTAACTGGGTTATGGCTACAGATGACTCAGTGTAATATTATACACAAACACAACAGCATCTCACAATATTATTAACTTATCTACAATTCACGAAGTCACTTCACATCGCATCGTCACTTCACATTTGCTAATCATGTACCGAGTAGCTACTAACTTACAACACCACATATTTACACACACTATGAGTCTGAGAATGAAGCAGAAAATTCTGCACATTTCAGAGCAGGTGAAACTCGTCACTCGTCCTCATTCCGTAGCACCAACACCCGAGTAGCCTCATTAGCAGAAAAATTGTCACAGGCTAGGCTATCGAGCTAAGCACAAACCTGCGCGCTCACCTGGAGAGTATAAATTTGCGAGCTCCCGAGCGCCTGCGTGTTGAGGACCCCATCTGGCTGAAGCCCGGGCCGGAGAGCTCACCTCGCCCTCCTGGCTTTCTGCCTCCGCAGCCCCGTACTCTCTCGGGTTGCTGGTCATGTTAGCTCCGGGTTTAGTTCACTCTCCCCCGGTGAGGAAGCCAACCCAGCTGGATCAGTTCCTCAAACTACAAACCACGCCCTAGTCCTCACGGTCACGTGTAGCGTCATCCAATCACCAATCGATATAATGACTTCCCGTTAGTAATCTTGGCCAATGAGCTTACACCAAGCTCTAGACGTATTTCATGACCCCACCCGAATTCCACCAATCAGAACGCAGATTCCGGTTAAAAGACACTCCAAAAACCACACCCTATTCCCTATTCACTGTATCGTGTGTTAGCTCATTAGTGCCATGGTTCTCAAACTGGGGCGCATGACTCACAGCGACTTATTATCAAAGTTATTATATTTATTATTGAGGTCTTATAGTTATTAACATAACTGACAGGTCACTTATATTTGAATCCAAACCTCACTAACTCCAAAATGAGTAGGCCAATAAATCTTCAACTTGAATGTAATGATAATTTTGATAAAAATGTGTGCTGTGAGTGGAAGGTTCAAAAATTAAAAATCACTATGTCTCTAATAAGTAGTTAAAATATTACTGTACACATATAATATGCCCAATATTTGAATAGTAGAATTATTTATAAATATATATAAAATGTGTGTGTGTGTGTGTGGTGTGTGTTAGAGAACTAGATATTCTCACTAAGCTCTGAGTGAGACTAAGAAATGTCAAAAATACCAAATATATATATATATATATATATATATATATATATATATGTATGTATGTATATAGTACATTAGTGAATAGGGTGCAGTTTCGGACGTACCCATTTGTACAAGGGTATTATGGTTATTCTGTATTGCCTAATGCACACTGGACACTAACTTATTACAGTGCATTATGGGAGCCATGGATAGCCTCCAAAATATTGTACTGGAGTGAACATTTTAATGCTGGCTCACTTGTAGCCTATAGTGCACACTGCACCGGTATATCCTGTATCCTACACACTATACAGTGTACACTATGCAGTACACTATGCAATATGCATCACAGTGTACTCCATGTGACTATCTGTCAGTCCAGTTTCCGTGTAAACCCTTACTTTCATAATTTGACTGCTTCACTGTTGTGCACAGGATTTTCACATTTACTGCAACCCAAACTGTCTGAGCCTTTGGTGTTTAAAAAAAATAAAATGAGGCAGCAGAGAAAGGCTTTAAGGCAGGCAAAACCATTTGACCTTTTTGAACAGGAGTGCAATGCAAATAATACCACGACTGTAATAAATCATGTTTTCTGTTCTGTATCAAATAAGCCATTACAACCTTCGTGGAGAAATCCAGCTTAGTCTGACCATCTGCCAAACACAGGCCGAGCTGGTAGACCATCTTTATCAAATGCCAAGTTATTTTTCAGCTTCATTATTACTTGACTAGACTGATCAGTAAGTGTTGGAGATTTTCTAAATGGCTCACTGTTGTGTTATTTTCTTAAAAACAACTAATTTTAGCGTTAGTAGTATACAGTATATACCAGTCCAGTGTGCACTACAGGCTACAAGTGAGCCAGCATTAAAATGTTCACTACAGCACACTATTTTTGAGGCTATCCATGGCTCCCATAATGCACTGTAATAAGTTAGTGTCCAGTGTGCATTAGGCAATACAGAATAATCATAATACACTTGTACAAATGGGTATGTCCGAAACTGCACCCTATTCACTAATGTACTATTTTTTGTATTTTTGACATTTCTTAGTCTCACTCAGAGCTTAGTCAGAATATCTAGTTCTCTAATGCAGGGGTTCTTTCCAGCAGCCAAGGGCCCAGTTTAAAAAAAAAAAATCAACTGACTCCTTTAGTCCCTTGTTTTGGTAGTCACTGTACTGTCTTGTGCTGTTTACACATGTTTGTGTAATTGTCTTGTGCTGTTTACACATGTTTATGTAATTGTCTTGTGCTGTTTACACATGTTTGTGTAACTGTCTTGTGCTGTTTACACGTTTGCACGTTCACTTTATGTAAAATGTGTAGTCTCTTGTAGTTCTGTGTTGTTTTATGTAGCACCATGGTCCTGGATGAATGATGTTTCGTTTCACTGTGCACTAACTAGCTGTATATGGTTGAAATGACAATAAAGCCACTTGACTTGACTTGATTAGTACCAGCATTTACCTCCTGCTAAGGATGTTCTACCAGTTTGCCCACATTGCCCAGTAGTTTCCCAGTAGCAGGTTAGACTAATCCAAATCTTTCAGCAGCGAAGAATAGTTGAACATTTTGCCTGTGTAAGTCATCCAGGTGTATTTAATGTACTGGAAACATCCAAGGTGTTTACATACTATGTATTAGATACTGCATTGCGACAGTATCAGTAGCATAGGAATAGTATACAAAGTATGCCATTTCAAAATAAATTGTGTTGTTTATTGTCACATCCAATAGAGCAAATAAATATACACAATACATCATAACAAATAAGAGCATAACAAATAAAAGTTAAATTTGCAAGGAGTTTGCATATAATTTGCAACGTGATGGTACAAGCTAGATATTTCCGCAGGGAATTTAGATGTTTTCCTGCAGTAACGCAAAGTCTCCGCCAGGTGTCAGTGTAGCAACTGTCTTTTAGATAAAGACAAACGCTGCCCACCTCTTTGGAGTTCACGGACACTTTGGGATTTACTGACTATGTAAACAGCAAAGTTCCCAGTGTTGAATGATTTTTATATTTTTACGATGTTGAATCAACCCTTAAAGTGTCAGTTTGTGTCCAGCTGTAGGCATTGTGTGTTTTGGAAATGTGTAGTGTAGCAGATCTATTCAGATTATAATGCAAGTCCATGTTTAACATCAACTATACAGTGTATCTCTATAGGTTACATTCACTGCCTAGGATCATTAATGTTAAGTAGAGAACTAAACAGAGACTTCCTTCCTGAAGTCTCTTACACAAAACTACCAAAACACAGGCTTGAGCTGGTCAAGCTGGTAGACCATCTTTGCCAGCCAGCTTCCTTATTTCTTGAATAAACTGATCAACTGTTGTGTTATTCTCCAAAAAATAACTTGTCTACAAGGTAGCATTAGTAACAGTAATTCAGAAACTTATGCAGCACTTCCCAGCTTACATTTACAGCATTTTGGCAGATACGCTTATCCAGAGCAACTTGCATTTATCTCACTTATACAGCTGAGCAGTTGAGGGTTAAGGGCTCAAGGGCCCAGCAGTGGCAGCCTGGCAGAGCTGGGGTTTGAACTTATGACCTTCTGATCAGTAGTCTGACATCTTAACCACTGAACTCAGACTAAGATGGGTCTTTCAGCAGGGTTGACCTATTTCATTAAGTTAGGAAACGCTTGTACCAGGGGCTCTGTAAGTTGGGGAAGCCATAAATGGTGGCCAGAGCAAGACATGGAGCTTGGAATTAGTGCCATAAGCCAGAGACTGTTGGTGGTGGGCTGCCCAGTGTCAGTTTTTCTCAAGAGGTTCAGGATTTCTACCCATGCACAGCCATAATTGATCATAATAGACTCTAGTGGGTCATATCAAGTTGATATGTAGTTGATATGTTTGTTTGGTGTACTTTGTAGTAAGGGGAAAATGACATCCCACCTCCGTTAGCACACACTAGCAGGTTTAGGCCGGTTTGCACTAGGAGCAGGTTTTTTTTTTTTCTTCTTCTTCTGCTTCTTACGGCAGTATAGGGAACGCCCACTTCCTCAAGCCTATATAAATCCACCTCCGAAACATGGGATTTGACAGTGCGTTCACACATGAGCACACGGCGAATATCTACAGACACATTTGTCAACTTTCCTAACCGGTGTTTCAGGAAGATTTGTACTGAAACGTTAATAGTGCTTGTTGCTGTTTGTGTGTTTTTTTGTTTTTTTTTTGCGAGTTCGTGGGTGTAAACTTTTGTCAGGGCAATCAGCCCCTGCTTTAGCGTCCTGCCGCAATCCGGCGGGTGTTAAGATCCATGGAAGCCATAATTGATCAGTTAATCCACACTATGGATCAGCTATGCAGTACAATGGTAAAATGCCATGCTGTGGCCCTTGGGGACTGTAGTGTGACCCGTCTGATCTAGTGTGGGGTGACTGAAATGTCACTGGTAATATAATAGACAGGAATATGAGCATATTCTCAGGTTCACATGGAGAATGGGAACACCCTGTTGTCCTCCTTTTCCTTGTGGTTCTGAAGTTACTTTTCTATAATGGGACACATTTTCTATTGAAGCAGGATCTTTAGTAGAAATAGAGTGGAATTCCATCAGGATTTTGTATGACTGTGAAAAGTGGGTGTCCCAAAGCTAACCGATTCAGACTCGAACACAAATCACAAAGCAAACATCAATGACTGTTTTTATTGATTGATTTTTTTTTCCCTGCCTCCATATGCAAGGTCATAATCAAGAATCTAAATTTGTTTTAAAGCATTTTCTTGTGTCATAGTCTTATCATCAGACAATCTTTATTGTATAATCTGGTGTGCATGATATCACAAAGTCTGCGACAGAAGATTTTGGCCAAGATTTTATTGCCCGCATCTCATATAGTGTGATATGATAAGCCTGCTTTTATTGTACAATGTGCAGAGGGCTTAAGCTGGCTGTTTCTGTCTTTGGACAGTATTTACACTGTCTCTGTATATACTGTGTTTAAACAAAAACATGTTCTAATGGTGACTGGCATAATGGTTCCCCACTATTTTTGCATTGTATCTGATTATTTTAATGGTTCATGAAAAATTCTGTCAGGCCAATTCAATTTTTTCAGCAGAGTAGGTGTAGAGCACTATAGCCTACCCATCCACCTATCTAAAGCCTACCTATCCACCTATCTAAAGCCTACCCATCCACCTATCTAAAGCCTACCTATCCACCTGTCTAAAGCCTACCTATCTGCCTATCTATAGCCTACCTATCTAAAGCCTACCCATCCACCTATCTAAAGCCTACCTATCCACCTGTCTAAAGCCTACCTATCTGCCTATCTATAGCCTACCTATCTAAAGCCTACCTATCTACCTATCTATAGTCTACGTACCTCGATTGATGTTTTAACAAATATGATCCAACAGATCTGTTTCTGATGTATAATGAAGGACAGATAAATGTAGCAAACCAGTTTTACAATCCAGATTTAAACCATATCTATGGATCTGGTGTTATGTTACTGTACCATTCTGTTTTGTTTAACAGCCTGAAATGTGTAGACCTATTATCTGCCAAAGGAGCTGATCAGATTTTCTGATTTGGACCATATTGTGTTTGTTTCAGAATAGCTTGAATTTTTCCAGTTCTTGATTACTCACTGGGCTATTTTAGGCTCTAGGGGGTCGTATCAAGTTGATATATAGTTGATATGTTTGTTTGGTGTACTTTGTAGTAAGGGGAAAATGACATCCCACCTCCGTTAGCACACACTAGCAGGTTTAGGCCGGTTTGCACTAGGAGCAGGTTTTTTTTTTTCTTCTTCTGCTTCTTACGACAGTGAAGGAAACGCCCACTTCCTCAAGCCTGTATAAATCCACCGCCGAAACATGGGATTTGACAGCGCGTTCACACACGAGCACACGGCGAATATCTAGATTAGATCAGATCAGATCAGACACATTTGTCAACTTTCGTAACTGGTGTTTCAGGAAGATTTGTACTGAAACGTTAATAGTGCTTGTTGCTGTTTGTGTGTGAGTGTGTGGTTTGTTTGTTTTTTTTTTTTGCGAGTTCGTGGGTGTAAACTTTTGTCAGGGCAATCAGCCCCTGCTTTAGCGTCCTGCCGCAATCCGGCGGGTGTTAAGATCCATGGAAGTGGTCGGTATTTACGAAAGGGACTGCCTTGCATTCCACAGCGGCCACAGTCTGGGTCCCGTCCACGGCGGCGTGTACAAACCCTCCACTGACGGCTCGATGACGAAACTCGGCATCTCCGAGCACGAGAAGGCGATCGACTTCAGCATCTACTTGGACTCTGCTCTCCACTACCAGCAGCCGGCAATCCACGGCGAGGAGGTCTTCACCCCGGACTACCCTATCAGCGAGGACGCCAAGAGCAAGCGAGCCGCCGCGGAGGCGCCCGGGTACAAGAGCTACGCGCCGCTGACCGAGCGCGACGCCAACCGGAGCCAGCTCGGCTACCCAGAGCTTCAGGAGACGCGCCTCGACACCGTTTTCAGCCCGGACTTCCTGGGCGCCTACGGCAAAAGTCAGTGGCGAGGCGACGTGAACGAAGACCCGCGGATGGACGGATCGGGGGGCTTCGACATGCGCTCCTACCTGCAGTACCAGACGGCGCCCAGTGGAAGCCTGGGAAACATCTCCAACGCTTCCTCGTCGTGCTCTAGCCCGCCTGGCACGCCCGCTCCGCCCAGCAAAGCCAGATCGCCTCAACCTGGCGGTAAAATCCCGTCTACAGGTAAAGGCAAGAAGCGGCTGGACAAGGACAGCGATGAGTACCGGCTGCGGCGTGAGCGCAACAACCTGGCCGTGCGCAAGAGCAGGGACAAAGCGAAAATGCGCAATCTGGAGACGCAGCACAAAGTGCTGGAGCTGGCGGCTGAAAACGAGCGGCTGCAGAAACGTGTAGAGCAGCTGTCCCGAGAGCTGGCCACCCTGCGCAACCTGCTCTCCGCCACCGGCCAGTGCTAACGCTTACTTCAGCAACCTTTCTCCATAAGACTGTAAAACATCGGTTCCAAAGAGTATGCATTTTTTTTTGTTTGTTTGTTTGTTTGTTTGTTTTTTACAAATGAGTCAATTTTGCGTGAAAATGACGAACAATGCTTTAAAAAAATGTTTACAAGAGCAAAAGAGCGTGAAAAGGGGACTGGCGCCTGGATTGCGCAACACTTTCTCCCATGCTCGATGACTTTGTCACTCTGGTGGTGTTGTGGAAGCCCGCTCATGTACTTTGGTCTGTACAGTATTTTTGTACGGGTGAAATGTCTACTGTTTTAATAATACTCTGTTATTTAAATACCTTTTCCCCCCATAATCTGGGGCAGTGGCTGTCGAGGGAAGAGTTGTACTGCAGAGGTATGATGCAACGCATTGTAACAGTATTGGCCATGCAATGAAGTAGTCTGTTCACACAGAATAACGGTAGATATCTTGTATTGTTATATAATATTTTATTGAATTAAATGATTTTTATTTCTTTTTGACCTTGGTTGTCTGCCTATTTTTGTCTAATTGCACTGGCTCAAGTCACACTCACCTTTTCTGCGTAGAAAGACTTGTCATATTTTGACACTTCAGTTAGACAATGAAAAAAACATTCCATATAAAATCAGATCATTCAGTTGTTGAGTTGCAGGAATGTAGTTTGATATTTTTTTTCTTTTTATTTAATCACTATTTTAGGATCAAACCACACACACACAATAATGTAGAAGGGAAGGTATTGCAACAAAGTCCTCCATAGTCTTGAGTCACTTTGTGTCACACAATGTGTAAATAGTTCATCAATGTTAAGCGCTGCAATATCCATTACACTTTGATGTAAAACCTACTGTAGCTATATATAATGTAAATATCTGTTAATAACACTGTAATATCTGTTAAGAAAATGAACATTTTCATAAGATACATATATGAGGAATTGGAAGAAACATTTTTTACAGGTTTGTCCTTTGTCCAGGTCGGCCAGCAGTAAAGCAGAATTATCTAAAGCACACACACATTGTCAATAGTCTACCAGGTTCAGTGATCTCTCAGAGTTGGGGTCAAGGCTAGACCAGCAACGCCCCAAAACGACCAAGCTGTAGCTGGTTCTTCTCTAAATTCACACACACACACACGCATGCATGCACACGCAATTTTAATATGGATATAATACTACGGCAAATCTAAAAGTCTAAACCAGCCTAATTCTAGAAAACATAAGAAAAAAAGGATGGAAAACGGAGCTTGTATTCCAGTATAAAGACTAGGACCCACAAGAGAAACAATAAAGGTCTTAATGGTCATAATATGGGCATTAAAACTTTTACTAGGTGTTAAGACATATTTGGGCAATTTAAAATATCTCAACAGTCCAGAAATAAACATCATAATATTAAATCATCCAAATTAATGCTTTCATCATATTACTGACATAAAAAAAACAGTAATACAAGAGTATTATGCCCAGAATTAAAACAGACCTAGGCTGTAATTAACCACACTGCTTGAGCCAGTGCTCTGGGCCTTAATAATCTTCTCCATTATGACCCAATAAACCTATTCTCTGGTACTTCATTGTTTAAAGTGTTATGCTGGCCACATATTTCCATTCACAGTATCAGATAAACAAACCTGCAC